GGAAGGCTAGTGTTACTGCCCCTTCATTTAATCTCGACCCTGATCGTCATCGGCACGGTTTAGGGTTTAGGGTTTAGGGTTTAGGGTTTAGGGTTTAGGGCAGCCAAAAGGTGTGAAACCTTAAACCCTAAATGTCTAAACGCCGAAACCCCCCCCGAAACTCCTAAACTCTATAAACTCTAAACCTCAAACCCTGTAGCAGACTTCGTCTTAGCAGGGCTGACAGCCCTTTCGACAAAAACAACCCCCCGCAGAATACTTGGGTAGTTTTGAAAATTAGGGTCCCTTTTTTGGGGCTCCTTGAAGGGATCTATAAGGGCTTCTATAGAGTTTCTATAGGGGTGGACCCTGAAAGTGACCCTATTTTTCGATAAACTACCTGCATGTATACGCTACAATAGCACCTGAACCTAAACCCGAGAGACCCGCAAAACGAGAAGAACTCCTTCAGCTGTCTGGCACTCTCATCCGCGAGGCTTTGGCAGCCGCGCAACTGCCGTCCGTGGTCTGACATTGAGGCCTACCGGAGGCTTTGCAGAACTTGGGTTTCGGGCTCTCTAGGTCGCAGTTGCCTCACTGGCTATCTCATCCAATTCGCAGGCAGTTTGATCTAAACCCTAAACCAAAACCCTAAACCCTAAACCCTAAACCTAAACCATGAACCCTAAACCCTAAACTCTAAACCCTGAAGCCTAAGCCCTGCAGAGACATCCAAAATCAAGCCGACCTGCCGTTCTGCAATACGAAACCTGAACGTAAATCTTCATGAAACATAGAGGCAATTTTATTATTAAGTAGATTAAGATATAATATATCATTGCTTTGAATTAATAGAGGAAAAAGAAACCAAGAACCCAAGCCTGTAAAGCAGTACTGACAGAAGCCCTGACAACGCCGAGTTGTTGATTTTGCACTGTGCGCAAACAGATCGTCAGGCGATGGCGCTACAATCTATCGAGCACTGGACACTCGGGTTTTATGCCGTGCCAGGCGAGCACCATGCGATGCTGTGCACAGTCTTTGCAGATCTCGTCTCGCGTAAACAACCAGTCTGGTGTCTCAGAAGGGACGGAGCAATAAATTTCTTTCCACAGCCCGAGCAGCGGGTGCCATGTCGGTTTCGTAGATTCATGGCAAGCACCGAAACGTTCTGGCAGCACGTCGGTCACCCATATGCAATACTCACATATCTCTTCTTTGTTGTACAAAATGTCGGCTGAAATTGGATATCGAATCCCATTCCAAAAACCATCCTTTCCTTGAACACAGCCAGTGAAAAGCTGACCTTCAGGAATCTCTGGGATCTTGGGATTCGAAGGCAAACTAACCGATGCCGGCACGAAGACAGCGCCGTCCGACGCAACCATCATCATAGATGCAATTAGGACAGCGCAAACCATTGCAATAGCCTCCACGAATGGACGCTCCGAAATGCATGGCTGAGCCCAACGGCAACTGCAATGACTTGGGCTATCTCGGTACATCCGATTGAAGCCTGGCCCGTCTCTCGAGAAATTGGACTTCAAGTAAAGCTAGGAAATCTGGCGTGCGGCTTAACGGCGGACTCCGGTAGATAAGGCTCATTAAATGTGCCGTGAGTGCGTCTGGGACGAAGTAGAAGTTCATGGAGCTTCAAGATGGATTGAGATACGGACTCTCTTATTTGGGCAGCGTAAGGCGGTTTAGGGTTTAGGTAAGTATTGGTAGACGGCTGCTGGCGAATATGACTGTCGATGGCCCTAAACCTGAAGCCGAAACCCGTACAATAAAGGTTTGCTCACAGCTTCTGGCATGGATTGTATCAGAATGGTTGGGCTTCTTAGGCGCGCAGAGAGTCGGAGGAGAAGCGTGTGTCAGTTTGATGCGGTGGGTTCTGGGGACTCTGAGATTTCTCAGTTCGTGGTTTGTGGGGTGGCTTGGGATGCTGGGTCTGGGGATGAAGGTTAAGGGGCAGTGAGGTGGTGAGCGAGCGGGCACTGAAGTTTTTTTGAATTAGGGTAAGGATTTGTTTGAGAATGCTGGTAAAAGCGTAGGGTGGGGGTCAGGGTATGGGTTTTGGGGTGGTTGTCTAATAGGGGGTCATTTCTCAGTTCATGCCATTGGGTTAATGTATTGTGGATAAGGTTCTGGGTTTAGGTATTGGTTATGGTTTGCGTTATTGGGGCAGGGGTATAGGCAAGGGCGTATGGCATGAACTGGGAAATGACCCTTGCTAGCTTCATATACAGTAAATATAATAAGGAAGCCCCAAAATACCCTAAACCCTGAACCCAGTATAGGTAATTATTTAGGCCCCTATATTGAAGCCCTTCATCCACACCGGCGGCAGGGCTGCTGAGGCCTCGAGCATAGCCAAGCGGCTCTGAACGTCCTCGGCCTCCCAAAATCGGTTTGGTGGTTTAGGGTTGAAGGGGCGTAGGGTTTATAAGCTTAGGATTTAGGGCTTTGGGGGCTTAGGGTTTAGGGTTCATATGTTAAGGATGTAGGAGTTTAGGGCTTAGTACGCACTTAGGAATTAGGGTTGTTTTGCTTTGAGGGCCTTGGTGGTGTCCGCAACATCCGTCGCATCCCCAGGATGCAGGGGCTGTCGTCGGCTCATGGCGGTGGTGCCAAGATCCGAAGTGAGGTTTAGGGTTTAGGGTTTAGTACTTGGAGGTTCATGGGTAGTTACCGGGTAGTTATAAATGGGGGTAAAAGTCCCCTAAAATAGTTATATAAATGGGGTTATAAGTCCCCTAATGTGGGTTATAATTGCGGTTACCCCACTTATAACCACCCATGAACCTCCAAGTAGGGTTGCGTCCCTCACAACGCCCTTGGATAGGGACTCAGCAAGACATGCTAACCCATGACTGTCATGTTGCATCTTGCGGCATAGCCCTGTTCTACGGATGCCTCATTAAATCATCCCCTTGCAACAAGCCCTGATGCCCAAACCCGGCTTAAAGAGAACTTACAGAGCTCGCTTTCGGTGGAGGTCCAAGCAGGCCTGCTTTGCTTCCTTGCCTCTAGGTTCGAGCTCCTTCCGTGGGCGGTTTAGGGTTTAGTGGTTTAGGGTTTGGGGTTTGGGGTAGGGGTATCAGCATGCTGTTTGGTGTTTCGAATTGAGGGGTTTAAGGTGATTGAAGATAGAGAGCTTCGAGTCCAGGGGTATTGGTCTGTGTCTACCTGTCTGATTCAGTGGTTTGGGGGTTTAGGATTCGAAGGGCAGGATCTACCAGAGCAGAGTAAACTAGATTTGACTCGAGTGCGTAGACAGTAGAAATGCCAAGCCAACCTGCTACAAAGACCAGCGTCGAATCGGGTCGACGAGCGATCGATCGAATTTGAACCTACCCGCAGCCATCCCGCCCTCTCCCAACCTCCCACCTTCCTGCCTTCCAGCTTCCCGAATCCCACCTCCGGCATACGAGTATACACGTGTACTTGGAGGTTCATGTGTAGTTATAAGTAGGGTTATAAGTCCCCTAATATGGGTTATAACTATACTTACCCTACTTATAGCCCCACTTATAACTACCCATGAACCTCCAAGTAGTATATGGTGACACGGTAGGTTTTGGAAGTCCATGCTGCGATGCCAGAGATAGACGCTCGTGGGCCGAAGGCCCTCTGCACTCATGGGCTGAAGCATGGGGATCCCATCTTGTGGACGCAGCCATGTACTGTAGGGGCCTGAATAATTGGAATAGGGTTTTGGGGGTATATTATACTATAACCATAACTAGGAACCCCAAAATAATATAGGTAATCTTTGAAGCCCCTATATTATTGTCAATTACTGTGCCAAAGCAGAAGATCTGCAGGCCAGGAACCACCTAAAAGCCAAGCCGTGCGCTGTTGCGGCGATAGCGATAGGTAGTGCAAGACGCCGAATGCTACAGTAGACCCTGAAACCCTTCATTTCTGCGTGACGTCAGCCGCAACCACAGTCTTGCAATCCCTGTCCTCGTCGCCAACAGCCTGCGCCCTAAGACCCCCCAATGCCCCAAACCCGCTATACTTGAACCATCTCGCACGCTACCCTGAGGCCTGAAAGCCCTCTGAGACTCTGAGCACTCTCTGTCTCTGTCTCTATATATATATATATACATATACATGTACAAGTACTTGTCTAAGTAAGCATTTATCTGCTTATCTGTATTCATATTTGTATGTATATACACTCCATCTACTATATACAAACCCTCTCAACCATGTGCCTAAATGCGTTAAAAACACCTGCAAAGCCATGAACCTCAATTCTCGGCCCAAAACCTTAAAACAAAATCCTTCAGGGAACCATTATATGAATCCCCTGTAGAGCCCTTACAAGTTCTAAAAACCTTAAACCCGAAAGCCCAGACCCAAAGCCCCCTTAAAGAATCCCCGAAAGACCCCCTCAACCCTCATAGGACCCTATAATATAAGGGCCTTAATACTTAGAATAGGGTTTGTATTATAGGAACCCCCCCAAAAAAACCCTATTCTAATCATTATAAGCCCCCTACCTTAAACCCAAAACCCTTAAGAAGTCCCCTTACAAGAAAGGCTGCAATCGCGCAGTGTGGACTCCTGGAGCTGCGTTTTCAGCTCCTTCGTCACGGCCTCGAGCTTGGAGAACCGACCCTCCAGCTCTTCGGCCTGGAGGGGTACTGTAGGGGCCTTCATAGGGCTTAGGGTTTAGGGTTTAGGGCTTTTAGGGTTTAGGGTTTAGGGCTTTTAGGGTTTAGGGTTTAGGGTTTTAGGGTTTAGGGTAGGGGCCTTAATAATTAGAGGGTTTTGGGGCTCCTTTAAAGGGATCCTTCATGGGTTTTATGAGGGATCCGGGATCCATAATAGGGCTCTACAGTAGGGGCCTTAATGGTACAGAGGTTGGAGATGAGGGGCCTTCATAAGTAGAGTAGGGGGTTCCTTTAAAGGGATCCTTGTAAGGGCTACCCATAAGGGTTTAGGGTTTAGGGGGGCTTAATAATTAGACGAGGGTTTTGGGCTCCTTTAGACTATAAGTAGAATAAGGAACCCAAAGGAATATGAGTGGTAATTATACTTGGGCTTCTATATTCTGCTTGGAGGTTCATGGGTTGAAACCCCACTAAGCCCATTTATAACTACCCAAGAACCCCCAAGCAGCCTTTTAAGGTTTAGGGTTTCTACTCGTGCTTACGGGACAGTGGAGGAGGCAATTTTCCGGACTACTGTAAGCGATTATACAGGGACTGTATAGGGATCCACTCGCCCACTCCCCCTTCAGCACCAGTAAGTAAGGGTATGTGTGGGCTCTGCAGGTAATCCATCGGGGCTCTTTAGTGGTCTAAACGGAAATTATCATGATGTATTGGGGTGTCTTCACGGTTACTTACTGTAGGGCGTTGGGCTTTAGGGTTTGGGCCGGGCGGCGTATTAGGGCTCACGGCTTCAGAGTCTGGCCGCGCTGCGGGCGGTTAGTATCATGGTTCAACTACCCAACTTCAGGTTTCGGGCTGTCTCTGACATCTGCAACAGCCAGAAAATTGCTCTGTTAGTATTGCGATGTCCCACAGCCCGTTTTTTTTAGACTAGCGTTCTTCTCCATTTAAGGTAGATAGCCACTCGACCTAGTTTGGCTGCTGCGCGGCATGAAGTCCACCTGTTGCAACCCTGATGTAGAAACCCAACGAATTAATGTTTAGTGATACGACTGACACTAAACGCATCATTCAGGACACAAGCTGCTCGTCTCCAGCTTCTTCATCATCAGGAATAAGTATCACCACCACATTCACCATCACCATCACCATCACCGTCATCACCATCATCGCCATCATCGTCATCATCATCATCATCACCATCATCACCATCATCGTCATCATCATCATCATGACCACCATCATTCATGATCACAGAGCTCTGCCGTGCACCAGTCTGCCTCAAACTGTTTCATCCGCTGCTCCAGCCGCTTCTGCGCTGCCTGGCTCGATTGCCCGTTATCTCTCGCACAAAATTAGCCAGAAGTACAGAAAGCAGTCAAGCTAAAGTCATCCATGAGGGTGCGCATAGGGGTCGTTAATAAGTCAGGAGACGATCACTCTATGACCAGGATCCAGGACACATGACAGGAATGGAACATTGTGGTATCCTGAATCTCAATACCTCTGCACATATCATCCAAGGTCGGGCAAGTATCCGTTATGCAGAGAATGCTCCATTGTCTGGGGCAGTAAGCTGCGCCTAGTACATTATGGCCTTGGTGCTGCCGGCTACAGTCTAAGGTTCTGACTCAGCGCCGCCTCGAGTTCTCATAGTCTATGTTCATGTTACGATGATGTGCTACATCATGCTATGTTTCTAAGTATCGTTCTATGCAGTCACACTCAGTGTTTCCTTTGGGCTCGCAGCTAAGCAAACATCACTCGTTTCATGAGCTCCTCG